TCTCCATTTGGGACTTTCACATTTTGTAACAATAACCAAATTCGATTACAGATTTCTAAAGTCAAGAATGACAACACTGAGTTAGGTCACATTTGATCTTGTTTTTTCCATCATGCTCAAGTCATGCAGAACTAATAAAGTTCACACCTAGTTTAAGCCTTTTAATAAAAGCCTTACATGTTTTGAAGTAATCCCTGCACTTCCAAAGTACTTTATGCATTCACATCTTACGTTCTAAGACCATTTTTGTTCATATATGTGAAATTTGATCATGTTCAGAAAGCAGCATGTCATAGTTTAGGCAGACAAGAAAATTTTAGTATTTTGCTAAAAATCTCTAGAAAATATGTGTTGCTGTAAATTAAGATTTTATATACAGAGATAAGTACGAGGAAATGCTCCATTGCAGTCTTTAAATTCTTTGCCCTTTTGCTCCATGTTCACAATTATTACATACTCGTCACAAGTCTCTCCTTGAGTAAGAGACCATCAGACAGAATGCTGCTATCGATTAGGTTTGGATACAATAAAAAATTCCATAAATTAAAACTGTTTTACCTTATAATTTTAAAGGAAAAGTAAACATCTGTGTTTTATGGTTTATAACAATATGATTTCTTTTTCAGACATCTTATTTCTCCCAGGGGTTTCCTAATACATGGTTTGAATAAAGGCAGAGAAGACCTATTAAATGAGCGCTACTAGAAGTGATGCTAAGCATTTTCTATAGCAAAATAATAAAAAAAAAAAGGTGAAAGGTGCTCATATGTTAATGGACAACAGTGAAGGTTCAGAACATAGATGGCTGTTGAAGGATTTAACACAACAGAGCAGCAACTGCAATAATGCAGTATATTCAAATTCAATCTCTGGATTTCCATCTTCTCCCATGAGGTCCCAAGGGTTCTCGCCAAGACCAAATCTTGAAATCCATCCTATGAGCACCACTTCAATAATTGGTGATATGAGGAAATCCCATTTTCACCATACCTTACTAAATCAAAACCGTCGTAACTGTAAATAATTTTGACTACACAAATTACACAAGTCTTGAATGTCACTCAATGGTATTTTCTTTCTATGTTTTTAAATTTTAAAGTTACCGTAGGTCAAATCCAATGACAAAATGCTTTAATCACATCCTGATAGTGTGTCTAGCATCCCTTTCTTATAGTATTTCAAGTCAAGAATTTGATAATACAGTAGACATGAAGTAACCTGGTGAAACAGAAAGCAAAGGTCCATTCCTATTTATTCCCCTCTCTAGAGAAGTGTTTGACGTGTGGGTGCCTAGGGAAATAATGAGGTTGATATCAGGACGCTATCAGCCAACTTTTCTTCTGCATCCCCAGTAAAAATTTTGCTCTAGCTATGTTGCTAAAAAGTTGTTCAAATGTGAAACCAGAAAGACAGTATAGTATGTCTTAGACTTAGATTTATTTCGTGATTTTGTATACACGTGCAAACAAAAAGAAAGCTTGCTTAAAAAAGCTCTAGACAATTTCATTTTTTAAAGTGCAGCCTTGAAAAAAGTAATAAATACATAAAAACAATAGTAATATAAACATTATAAACATATGACTGTACATTTACAGTTCTAATATTGATTTTTTTCTTGTAAATAAAATAACCCATTTTACGAAACATTCAAAAGTCTAATGGCAGCAGGGAAAAAGCTGTTGCAGAAGCTGCTGGACCTGCATCTGATGCTTCAAAGCCTTTTTCCAAAGGGCAGCAGGGAGAACAGTCCATGGTGGGGGTGTGAGGGGTCATTGATAATGTTACAGGCTCGGGACACGCAGCGCTGGGATGAAATGTCTTTAATGGAGGGAAGAGGAGCCCCAATAATCTTCCCTGCTGTTCTTACTACTCTTCTCACCTTCTTCCAGTCTGAGGCGCTGCAGCCTCCACAACACACAGTGAGACAGCTGGTCAGAATGCTCTCTATGGTGCTTCTGTAGAAGGTGGTGAGGATGATGGGGGCAGGTGGGCTTTTCTCATCCTCCGCAGGAAGTACATGCGCTTCTGAGCCCTTTTGACCAGTGAGGTGAGGGTGTCTGTGATGTGCACCCCCAGGAATTTGGTGCTGTTGACCACCTCTACAGCTGAGCTGTTGATGACCAGTGGAGTGTGGTTAGTCCGGTTCTTCCTGAAGTCCAAGATGATCTCTTTCGTCTTCTCCACGTTCAGGATCAGGCTGTTATCTTTGCACCAGTCCACCAGCTAGATAGATAGATAGATAGATAGATAGATAGATAGATAGATAGATAGATAGATAGATAGATAGATAGATAGATAGATAGATAGATAGACAGACAGACAGATAGATAGACAGACAGACAGACAGACAGACAGACAGACAGACAGACAGACAGACAGACAGACAGACAGACAGACAGACAGACAGACAGACAAAAAAATAGATAGATCTCTACTTGTGTTGTTTTGTTTTTTTACTTTGTAAGGGTTTTGGATCTGCCCTTATGCTGCGTTCACACCGGGGGCAGCTGGCGCGACAGAAGCAGCGAGTTTACATGCAAAGTCAATGGTTGACGCGCGTCAAGGCGCAGCAAAAAGTCCCGCGGCGCGTTTCGAGCAGCAAGCGCAGCGCGTCTGAGCAGCTGAAGCAGTGCGTCGGGCGCGTTTTGGCATCTGACGCGCGTGACGCGCCGCAAACGCGTTGCTGCTCGAGATGGAAAAATTTAATTTTTGCTGCTCGACGCGCCGCGTCAACCAATCAGAGAAGCTGATCTGGGAGCTGGCTGGGAGAGAGACACAGCGCTGATGACACAGACCGCTCTGATTACTCCTCTTAAACAGTTTATTAACGCATAATTAACTTAAAATATATACATCTGCCGGCAGAATATGTTCGCTTTTATTATTCTGGTGCCTGCAGATCGGATTATTTAGATGAAAAACACCTACCAGCCACCGCGGTAAACCGCGAGGAGGCGACCCAGCCAGAGGCTGCTGATGAATGGATTCCTTCTGTCGGCGCACCGCCGGTATGTGGGGGTCTGAGCGGCTCCGACAGAAATAACATTGGGAGGCAGGATTGTAATCTGGATGAACTGACTCCACTGATGAAGTTTTCAGGTGTATTTTCTCACTTAAAAACATATTAAAACTACTTTATTCCCACTGATCACAGCAAATATAGCTGCAAGGCAGAGAAAGGATAGTGAAGCTCCGCCCAACGCGCGTCAGACACACTTTTGGACCGCGCAGCGAGAGCAGCAAAGCTGCTTCAGACGCGCGTCAGAATTCACTGGTACAAGCAGCAAAAATGAAGCAGCAGACGCGATTTTGCTGCTTTTGCTGCCCCCGGTGTGAACGCAGCATTAGGAGGGCGGTGCTGTATGGGCTTGGGTCCAGTTTAAGTTTGAGTTTTCGTTGTTTTAGCACATGTGATGCGGCGGTTGAAACTGTTGCTTGACATTCAGATTTTTGAACGTAGCGTTTCCGTTTGGCTTTGCCATCATTTGATGTAGTCATTGCATTAACCTTTTCTTTTTGTAACCCGGTTAAAAACATTGATTAAAACTAGTTCACAAATTAAATAATTAGTCTGATTAAAAAATGTTTGAAATTCATTAAAAGGTTCTAAACATGTTAAAAGCATTTTTAAAATAAGTATTATGCTTATTATGTTTATTGTTTTTCTTTAAAATGTAAAAAATTAATCTGTATCTGTATGTATCTGTAAAACTGTTTAAACCAGCATTTATGGGGTTAATGTAGACAGGCCGGAACGTAACAGGACGGGTGGGAGAACGGAGCAGAGTGAGAAGGAGAGAGACTGGAGAGAAAAGCGAGAAGAAGCAGTTAAAGAAACAGTAACGAAAAGAGACTGTTAAACAGATGTTTTGACCAAGTTTGTGGAGAAGAACAACACGGACTCTCCAGAAGATTTATAAGACGCTTTTTTGTTGGTTTGAGTGAGCTACTCAACCTGAAAAGACAGAACTTTGCTAAGCTGGCAGCAAGCTAACTGTGTGGCAGAGACTGTTAGAGAGGCACGTGGAGCTGCAGACGACGAGCGAGCACCGCGAGCACCGCATCTCATCATTTTCCTCTGGACGGACTTTCTTCTCAACTCACTTTTTTCTACCATCCAGCTGTGTGTTCTGAGGTTTCAACGAACTCAAGCTACACCCAGGCCTGCACCGAACACTAAAGGGTACCCATTTGGTTAAAAAAACTAATACGATTGCCGGCTTTAGTACTAAGGTGTGTGGGCCGACAAAATTTAGGTTTTTATTATTTGTGCATATTTCTGGTTCAGTGTTTTAATAAACAAAAAATTAGGATATCTCATTAACCTAGAAAAAAACATTTCAGTTTGATAATTTTCTATAAAAGAGGGAGAATTAAGTTACAGTTCCTGTGTAAACAAAAGAAGAATTCATCCAGAGTTTAACAATATAAAAGTATTTATTTTGAATATTTGTTTTCTTTAAAGAATAAGAAGCTCTGATATTTTAATTTCATTTTTACATTGCTTTAATCATTTGGTATTCAGTAAATAATTGAGAATTGATTTTCTAAAACAGTGTGTGGTGTATTTTATTACCTTAAATGAGTAATTAATTTAATTTTGGTTGTATAATCTTGATTAAACTTGTTAGTTCAAATGTAAGTTAGTATAGTCCATTGGTATAAACTTAAAAAGAGAAATTCAAAACAAATATTAAACGTGAGTTAATCAGGTTTAAGCATATTTGGACATTTATTTTTTAGACGAACCCAAAAGCCCTGCCCTCATCTCTATGATTACTGAGGGGAGCGCTACATAAAATGGAGGCACCGCTGGGATAGTTTTGGATTTCTCAGTCTTAAAAAAATAAAAAAGGTTATTTTAAAAAAGTTTCAGAGTTAAAATAACTAATTTAAGAGCTAAGCTTTATACAAACAAAATAAAGATGGAAAAAACAGAACTAGTGTCAGAGTTAAAACGCTGGTGCCGTGGTGAAGGGTTAGATGAGACTCATTCGCTTATGACCATCGTCCCAGAAGATGTAGAGATCAGTGAAGTAGAAGAAACACTGGGAACTATCAAGTCTTTGGGATGGGTGCGTGTCCGTGGGAGAAACTTCAGTACGAGACTAAACCGACGGATGGTTTTGTGTGAGTGTAAAGAGACTGTGAACGAGGCAAGTGTTCCTCCTGAGGTTGTGACAATTGATGGTGGAGAGGCGTGGCCTGTTATCATCATTGGAAAGGCGCAGGCAGCTGCGGAAGAGTTTAATAATAAACTAAAAGGGTTGCTGCAGGCTGAAGGTAAAACAATGGAGGACCTCAAAACCTTGTTCCCCGGTACACCCCCACCCACTACCTCCACTGAATCTATCTTTCAAGTTGTTGGAGAGTTATTGGACAAGACAAGCAGACCAGCTGATGGTGGGAGCTACATCAGACTGCGCATATTCTCGGGAACCCTACCAACACCACCAGGTGAGGAGACATTTGATCATTGGCTAGAGCAAGCATGGCTTATGGTGGAGGAGACTGAATGCTCCGACAGAGAAAAAAGACGCAGACTTATTGGAAGTTTAAAGGGGTCCGCACTAGAAATTGTGAAAGCAGTGCGACATGCCAACCCTGAAGCCAGCGCAAAAGAATGCTTGGAAGCCCTTGAAATAGCCTTTGGAAATGCAGAGTCCGGTGATGATCTCTATTTTTCTTTCAGATTAATGCAACAACAAAAAGGAGAGAAATTATCAGATTTCCTTCGACGTCTAGAGAGGTCTCTAACTAAGGCGGTTCAACGAGGTGGTCTTTCTGCAAGCTGCATGGATCGAGCGCGCTTGGAACAGCTGCTAAGAGGTGCTATTGCTTCAGACCTGATGTTGATCCAGCTGCGTTTGAGAGAAAGGAAGACCACACCCCCAAACTTTCTACAGCTCTTGACTGAGATCCGTGCTGAGGAAGAGTATGAAACTTCTAGAATGAAGTTCAGTGCCTCAGTACATCAAGTGCATGCTAATCCTGAAGTGGATACCAGGCAGGCCGAGATCCAGAGCTTAAAGGTGGAAATAAAAGAACTGAAGGCAATCCACTCCAGTCAAGGAGGATTATAGGAAGGCCACACCCATTAACACACCACCTGCTCCCGAGAACCGGCAAAATGCCGAGCTGGCTGCCTTGAAAAAACAACTGAAACGACTACAGCAGAAAACCAGCAACAAGATGTCTGACCAAGATGCTGCAGTCTCATCCATCGAAGCTTCTGAACAGGTCTCCCACACACCCAAAGAAACACAGAAAAAGTCAGATGAGAATTTCTGCTACAGGTGTGGTGAGAGCGGACATTTTGTCACTAAATGCCGCAACCCTGAAAATCAAACCAAGGTTATCAGAAAGCTAATTCATGCTTTAAAGGTGACCAAAGACCAGAAGCAGTCAGCTGGTTCCACCACCAGTGAAGTGAACTGTGGTGTCAAGAAAAATGCTGTTACCTCATCTGAGCAGGCTGGCATCCCTGAAGGCTTGATTGGCCCACCGAGCATCGTACCCTTGAAAGTAAATGGTCATTGCTGTGATGCCTTGTTTGATAGTGGTTCTCAGGTCACCATTATTTTTGAATCTTGGTATCAGACTTACCTGTCTGATGTCCCCATACGCCCCGTGTCTGGTTTAGCCCTGTGGGGACTGAGTGAATCTGAGGGCAGTTATCCCTACCGTGGGTATGTAGTGGTCGATGTTGAATACCCAGCAAAGGTTATAGGGGCTGATCAGACCGTGACCATCCTTGCCCTAATCTGTCCCCAGCCCCGAACTGCAGACCAGACCCCTGTCATTGTGGGGACCAATGCCAGTCACATCCGACGTCTTGTGCAGCAATGTAAAGACAATGGCATTGACATCACCCAGACCCTGGGGATACGGTGTTACAGAGATAACAAAATAACATCGACTAACACAACAGCCTTGGATGATATTGGCTGTGTGTTATGGCAAGGCCCTGGCCCTCTGACTCTGCCCCCTGGTGGTAACTGTAGTGCAGTCTGCAAAGTAGAGTATAGGCAGCACGTCGACAAAGAAATTCTGATGGTTGACTCGTCTCCTCTAACTCCACTCCCAGCTGGTGTACTACTTCAGCCAATGGTGGTGCCTAGTGAAGATGTAAATGTTAGCCAATTCAGAATCCTGGTCCAAAATGAGTCCTTTTGCCCGAGACATCAACCAGTGGGAACAGTTATCGACATATTTTTGCGATGCAGTTACTAACCTCTCTCACCCAAGTCCGCTGACACTGAGTTGATCCAAACCAATCGACTTTGGAACTCACCTGTCTCAGAGAGGGGAAACAAACTCCGTCAGAAGCTATCCAAAAGGGGCTCAGGTGTTTTGCTGCATAATGGGATGTTGGATTGGAAAAAGGAGTAGAACAAAAAATCCGAATGTCAATCCACGGCCTTTCAGAGCGCCCCGTCGCCTGGCTCCAGCTGACCTGGAAGACGTGGAAAGCACCCCCAAAAAACTTTTTGCATGCAGCATTATTAAGGGGTCACGTGCCCCTACCCCCCCAATCGTGATTGTTCGAAAAAAAGAATGGATCAGTAAAATGGCATTGATTATCGATGTTGAACAGCCGAACAATTCCCCATCAGTACACAACCCTTGTATTTGATGTTTGGGGATTCAATGACGGGGAAGCAATGGTTCTCTTTCTTGATCTGCAAAGGGATATTCCCAAATTGCTAGGGTGAGGTGAAAGGGAAAAAGACGGCCTTCACTGTCCATGGGGTTTTTCCCATTTGAGAAAAATCCCTCGGGGGTAACGGGGACCCCCACCCCCTTCCAAGACTAAGGGGAAAAGGGCGGGTAGGGACATGAACCTGCTTGAATCCTTGTATACCTCGATGACCTGATTGTTTTTGGGCCGAACTTTAAAGAGCAGAAGAGAGACTTCTTAAAGTCCTTGATCGTCGGGAAAGGGGTTGGGACTAAAAATCTTCAATCGAAAAATGTCGGGTTCTGCCTGCCTAAGGTAAAGTACCTTGGCATATTGTGTGGCTGAGGGATATGCCTGCCCCATCCAAGATAAAAGCCTACAAATTGGGGCCACAGCCTACACCCCTGAAGGCCTTAACCCTTCTTAGGATTTTTGCGGCTACTCCCGCCCGCTTCATTGCAATTTTTGCACCATTGTCGGGCCTTGTCGATCACAAAAGGTTTTACGCTCCAACCCCAGGGGGCAAAAAGTCTGAGAAAGACAACACAAAGATTACCCTCAAAGAGTCTGAGCCTTTTGGGGTGACGTGGGACCAATCTTGCACCGGGTTTCCACAAGATTATCCACTCCTCCCCCAGCACCTTTTTGGCCTTTGCAGCCCCCAACAAGCCATAATCCTCATGTAATCCAGCTTGAAAGGGTTTGGGTGCTGGTCCGTTCAGGGAACACAGGGGGGTTCTGAGACCAGTTGCCTTCGCCAGCAAAGCAAAGGTCTCTGAGAGGAACTCCCCTTCACCCGCTGGAGTTCCTGGCCCTTAAAGTGGGCGGTTGTGGGTAAATTCCATGACTATTTTTTGGGTCAGGTTTTACAGTACGTACAACAACAAACCCCCCACATACGTACGTCACCGCCAAGCTCAGTGCGTGGGGCAAAGATGGCTTTCTGCCCTTTTCCACCTACGACTTGATTCCAATACCGACCGGGAACACAACATAGACGCAGACCTGCCTCGAGAAAAATGCCTGATGAGACACAGAAAATGGACAACAATACACAGTCTGGTGTGAGATCGATCTGCAAGCGAATCTGCATCCCCGGTTTTGCAGGGATCCGAGTTTGGATCATTGGAGCTTCTCAAATGTTGGCCTATGTCTTTTCATTCCCGACTCACCGGAGTTGAGATCCTTGGGGAAAAAGTCAAACCAGGGGCTTATAAAAGCTCAAGAGGAGGATGAGGCCATCCCCACTTTCCATTCAGGCTGTTAAACATGGAAAATGCCTGAAGAAAAAAGGATCCAAACCAAAGGGCCTTTTTCCTTAAGAAAAGATGGGGGAAAGGGTAGTGTGAAGGGTGGGGTACTCCATCGTTTAAGCAAGCGGCCCTCCGGGGAAGAACTGATCAAATTGTTTTGGGCCAACGGGGTTCAAAGAAGTGTGTTTTAAAGCTACACATGAGCTAGGACATCTTGGAATTGAAAGAACTTTCTGACTTGTTAGGGAACCTTTCTTTTGGCCCAAGCTTTAAGGATGTTGAATACATAAAGAACTGTGGAGAGGTGCAGAGAAAGACCCTTTCATAGGTCAGCGCCCTTTTCACATATATCAAGCAGTGACCAATGGACCTTTTGTGATTTATTTTCTGTCGATGGAGCCAGATTCTGCCGGCATTGGAAAAGTTTTTGTGGGAAGATCATTCACCCCTTAGTCAGGCTTTTTCCCGCCCGAAATCAAAGCACAGACAGTGGCGAAGATCCTGGTGCAAGTATTTTCTACATTATGGTCTGCCAGCCCGAATTCACTCCGATCAGGGGAGAGACTTTGAAAGCCAGTTAACAAAGACTTTTTTAGATGATGGGAATCCTAAAACGAAACCACTCCCTACACCCCAGGGGGATCCGCAGCCTGAAAGGTTTAACAGAACTCTTTTTTCCATGCTGGGAACCCTGGGGATGAGAGGAAAAAAACAGTGGAGAAACAGTTGGGAACCCGGTTCATGCCCACAACATACCAAAAGGATGCTACAGGATACCACCCCATTTCTTAATGTTTGCCGAGAAGCAAGGGTTCCTATAGACTTGTGCTTTGGGAACCCCCCTGAAGGTGAAGCTGATGGTTGCCCTTCCCCCTATGTAAAAAAAGCTAAAAGATGACTTTAGAAGGCCTACAAGCTTGCATCGATACGCTTTTTAAAAACATCGAGGAACAAAAGATCCATATAGAAGAGTGGGATTCCAAAATTGGATATTGGTGCGAGTGCTATTAAACTTGGGGTGAAAAGGAAACAAAATTGGAGATCGATGGAGTCCCATCCCCCTTTTGTGGTTGTAGAAAGATGCCCAACCTTTCCCGGTACAAAGTCAAACAAGAAGGAGGGGGAGGAGCAAAACTCTCCATCGTATCACTCCTGGCAATTGGACAATTAGTGAGAATGCCCAAAGTGGGGTTGGAGGAAATCACATGCATGAGGTTCAAAACCAAGCCGAGACACAAAAGAATCAAAGAAACCCGAATCTGAAGTACAAAGGGTTTTTCAACAGTTGCAGGAGTTACAGATTCTTCTTCGATGTGAGTATTAGGGGCCTAAAACCCCACGTGTTCACCCGAAGGAAATCCTAAAAAAAGGAAAAAAGATACCAGACAGTCAACTCTCATCCCAGATGATGGGGTTCTCCCTACTTTGTGGAAATCCGTGAGGGGCAGCTTGCCGAGGAAACAGTGTGGAGGAGGAACACAAAAATGTGGGGAAGAGATGGAGATCAAAATTCACTTCCAGGGGGAAAATGGTTTAGAGTCTGATAAACCGCACCAATGAGCATCCAAGACAGTCCCCAGAGGAAAAATTATTAGTAAAAAACCGGAAAACCGTCAAAAAGAATAGGAAAAAAACCGTTTTTCAGGTTTTAAATTATTGGCCTGGTAGGGGAAAGGACAGCCTCTCACATGTACATAAGGATTGTCATTAGATTGGGGAAAGTTAATTTAAAATGTTATGCCCCTTCTTAAAGTTAACATTTAAAAATAAATAAAAAAGTTCATTTTGGGTTATGAGGACATCAAAAAAATTTTGAAGGGGGGGGGTGTAACCCGTTAAAAAAAATTTATTAATACTAGTTCACAAATTTTAAAAAAATTTGTTGATTAAAAAAAGGGTTTTAAATTCAATTTAAAAAGGGTTTTAAAAATGTTAAAAGCATTTTTAAAATAAGTATTGGCTTTTTATTTTTATTGTTTTTCTTTAAATGTAAAAAAAAATCTGTAACTATGTATCTGTAAAACTGTTTAAACCGCATTTATGGGTTAAGTAGCAGGCCCGGGAAATAACGGGGGGTGGGAGAACGGGGAGTGAGAAGGAGAGAGATGGAGAGAAAAGCAGAAGAAGCAGTTAAAAAAAACAGTAAAAA